TCCCGGGTCAGAGGCCCGGGGGCCTGGCTGTGGGGGGGTGTTCCCGGGTCAGAGGCCCGGGGGCCCAGCTGTGGGTGGGGGTGTTCCCAGGTCAGAGGCTCGGGGGCCCCGCTGTGGGGGGATGTTCCGGGTCAGAGGCCTGGGGGCCCGGCTGTGTGTGGGGGTGTTCGCGGGTCAGAGGCCCGGGGGCCCGGCTGTGTGTGTGGGGGTGTTCGCGGGTCAGAGGCCCGGGGGCCCGGCTGTGTGTGGGGGTGTTCCCGGGTCAGAGGCCCGGGGGCCCGGCTGTGTGTGGGGGGTGTTCCCGGGTCAGAGGCCCGGGGGCCCGGCTGTGGGAGGTGTTCCCGGGTCAGAGGCCCGGGGGCCCGGCTGTGGGGGGGTGTTCCCGGGTCAGAGGCCCGGGGGCCCGGCTGTGGGGGGGTGTTCCCGGGTCAGAGGCCCGGGGGCCCGGCTGTGGGGGGGTGTTCCCGGGTCAGAGGCCCGGGGGCCCGGCTGTGTGTGGGGGTGTTCCCGGGTCAGAGGCCCGGGGTCCCGGCTGTGGGGGGGTGTTCCCGGGTCAGAGGCCCGGGGGCCCGGCTGTGGGGGGGTGTTCCCGGGTCAGAGGCCCAGGGGCCCGGCTGTGTGTGGGGGGTGTTCCCGGGTCAGAGGCCCGGGGGCCCGGCTGTGTGTGGGGGTGTTCGCGGGTCAGAGGCCCGGGGGCCCGGCTGTCGGGGGGGGGATCTCCACGTCCTGGACGCTCAGGGACCGGGAGGTTCATCCACGCCACCGGTCAGGGGAGAGTCGGCGACTCTGGGATAAGCCTGTGGTCCTCACGGTGAAAGGAGGGGACGCGGGGGTCGGCTGTCAAACCGAGCTACCTGGGTGAGGGCAGACAGCAGACGGGGGAGGGCGTGCCCAGCGCCCACTTTGGCCACGGGAAAGGAAAGACCAATCCACAGGCCCCAGGAAGGCACTGGAGTCCCGCCCGGGGTCCATTCAAACTCCCCCTTCCCGAGGTGGGCGTCCAGACGCCAGGCCAGCCCGGCGCCGGGAGCCTGAGCGCCAGCCCCGGCTGGGTTGCGGGGCAGGCGACACCGCTGTTTCAGCCTGGGGGGCCACGAGAAGCTTCCCCACGTTCCAAGTTCCGTTTTCCGTGGCCGTCTGGAAGCCCCCGTGTCAGGGGCCGCTGAGCTGCAGGTGCAGCCATGACATGACAGCCTGGGGGAGCCCAGGCCTGGGGCAGTGTGGGGACGTGGGCCTGCTCACACGCGACGGGCAGGGGCGTGGCGTCCAGGGAGGAAAGCAGCTTGTGCGACAGCATGCCGGGCCCCCGGCTGCGGCTGCCCTGGGGTCCCTGCTCTGGAAACCCGCTCCTGGGTGCGGGCTGGGCTCTCCGCCTGACCCCCGAGAAGCCTGGGTGGACGCTTCCAGGCGAGGGTGACAAGGATGGCGGCTGTGGGCGCAGGGGTGCGCCCCTGACTCCCTCCCGGGTCGCTCGCTGTAGCTCGGGGGGCAGTCCTGGGTGGGAGCCGGGGGCGAGGAGAGGGCACTGCCCACTTCCCTGGGACAGATGTGGCGCCCAGGCCGGCCCCGGCGGCCGGAAGCCGCTTAACTACGCTAGCCAAGTCGGGGCATCCAGTGCAGGCACTGAGTGGCCCCATGGCCGCGCCTGCGTGAGCATCAGCCCGTCTGCGGGGCCTGGTGCGCCAGGGCGCCTGCAGAGTGTCCAAGGCGTGGACATTGTGGGAGGATGGGAGGCGGCCAGGGCGGAGGGAACAGTGGGCTGGGAAGGGGCTACAGAGGGCCCCGGCACCCATAGGGCACTCCGGCGATGGCGGGACTGGCCCAGCTGATCACATGGGACGTGGGGGTCTGGGAAGGCTGAGAACTCGCCAGGGAGTGTAGGGGTCACTGGGGGGTGGGCGGGGCAGGGCAGCCCCCTGCTGTGTGCACTTTCAAGTCTCAAAGTCATGTGCACCCAGCTGTGGGGGGTCTGAGCCCTGGTCAGAGGCGCAGGTACCCGGTGGTGTGTGTAGGGGGGTGTTCCCGGGTCAGAGGCGCAGGTGCCCGGCGGTGGGGGGTGTGTGTGTTCCCGGGTCAGAGGTGCAGGTGCCGGGCTGTGGCGGTGTCCACGCCTGGGCTCTGGCCCGTGTGGCGCGCTCGCCTCCCAGCTGTGTCCAGCACAGCTCACCACGGCTTGCAGAGTGTCTCGGGGGAGGACGCGGCACATGGAGGTCACCCCGGGACACTAACCGTGAAGCAGAGGACGCCAGGGCCACCGGGGGCTCCGGGTCCCAGGGCCCACCCTGCGGGCCCCGCGCGGAGAGAGAGCACAGCGGAGCCGAGAGCCGGGAGGGCCATGAACAAGTCTTTATTCACCCTTGAGAGCGACAGCTGCATGATGTGGTACACACACTGGCTGTGGCAAGGCGGCAGCAGCCACCCACACAGCACAGCCTGGAGGAGCAACCAAACAGAACCCGCCGCGCTGAGGGCGCCTGGGGAAGTCGCACGAGCGAGGAGGGTGACTCGGGTCACAAAGCGCAACGCTGCCTCCCCCAGCCCGCAGTGCGCTCGTGGGCGGGAGAAGTCCAGCTCGCTCCTGTATTTACAGTATCACGTAGGTATCACGCATGTATCATGTATGTTCGCCCTCCTCCTCAACTGCAAAATGGCGGCTCCACTGCGGAGCACGCACACCAAGAAAAAAAAAGAAGAAATGAAACCGAACGCACGCGGCCGCCGGCTCCCGCCTCGGGTGGGGAGGGCGCCAGGCTCGCCGAGCCGGCGGGCACCGGGCCCCGCGGGCGGAGGGAGAGGAGGAGACGCACGGACGACACGAAACACAGCTCCCGCTCGCCGGCAGGCGGCTGGCCGCGGCCTGGCGCCGTCTCCCCGAAACACTGCTTCCACGTAAATACAATAAACTCTATCATTGGTCGGTCACAAGTGCTAGGTAAGTGGTGTCTGAAATGACAAGTGCTGGAGTCCTTTTTGTTCTGCTTACAATAAAAAGTACAATTTCTTAAGAATAAGTTCAGTAAGATGCAAACTGCCCCCCCACCCCACCCTCCTCTCCTTCAAGGTTTTGTTTGACAGAAAAAAAATCCCCGTCTTCCGCATCTGCAGGTGTCGCCAGAGGAGGGAAGGCCTCTCCGTGTCCCCCGAGCCGCGGGGGCGGCTGCGATCCGTGCACGGTGAAGCCAGGCCGGCCGTCGCTCATGCAGGCTCGGGAGGCAGCTTAGAAAAAGAGACGGGTACAGCTTGCTCTCTGTATTGTACAGGTGCCACCGCCCTGAGAGTCCAGGGAGGAACCGTGGAATGGGCGCGGGCGCGGGCGCGGGCGCGGCAGGAATGTTCCAACGGGAAGGAGGGCGGCGCCCGCCCACCGCGGCCCCAGCCACCTTCCTCTGCGCCACAGAGCTATGAGAGGAGGAAAGAAAAACCCGGACACTTCGACAAAGTGGCCCTGTCCACTGGAGCCACGCAATGCCGGCGTGGCCACCTGCTGGTGGGGCGCGGGCACGGGGGGAAGTCACGCGTGCCCGCCGCAACCGTGGGCTCCCCGCAGAGGGGCATAAAGTGCTCATGCGCCGGCGTCCGGCAGGTGCCCCCCCAAGGCCTTGCAAAGGAAGAGGCAGGCGGGGGCGGGGGGCCAGGGACCCGAGAGGGAGCAGGCTGCACGCCCTCCCCGGCCCTGCGCTGTCCGCCTGGGCACCGCGTGGGGAAGCCCACGTGTGACTGCAAAGGAAAGAAAAAGGCTACACGGTAATGCTCTCGGCAACCTGGGGACTGGAGTGAGCCGGCCAGGGGCTGCCCGTGGGACAGCCCGCGAGCCCTCCGGAGAGAGCCTGCCCACCACCCCGCGGCCCTCATCATCTGTTAAAAACAAAAACAAAAACAAAAACCAATGAGATGATGTGTGCCTCCCCCACGAGGCGTGGGGGGCAGCACGGGGCTGCTGGCCGGGCACAAAGGGGCTCCCGGGCAGAGCGGCCAGCGGGGAGGGGCGCAGCAGGCAGCCCCAAGACCGTCCGGCCATGCTCTAGGCCAGGGCTCGGCGCTGACCCCGCAGGCCGGCGCCCGCTCGAAAGCCCGCTGTGAAGGGAACAGACCCAGCAACCCGGCCGGCGGCGCCCTCCCGCCAGTCTAACTTGAGACACTTTGGAATGAAATCAGTGGCTGCAAGTGCTGGGAAAGAAGTGACGGTCAGTTACCCGCTGTCCCCGTGGGCGCCAGAGCCCGGGCCCGGCCCCGCGCATCGCGCGCGTGCTCCAAAGGTCTTTCGAGACCTGGGGTTGGGCTTGCACGGGGGTTACAGGGGAGTTTCATTAATGCTGACCGCGCACAGGGCCCCGAGCTCACCGAAGGTCGGACACGGCCCGCGGCTCCCGCACAGCGCCGGGCCGGGCCGGGCGCCGCGCCTGTCGGGTCGTGCCTGCGCTCGCTGGTGCGGCCGCCTGCTGCCTCGGCGTCCACAGAAACACACGATAAATGACCTCGCAAAGGCGAGAAACAGAAAGTAGGCGTAGAAAACGGAAAGAAAAAGGTTCAGACGTTGCTGCCATTGGGAAACTGCTAATGGTGAGGAGAACGGAGAACCCACAAAGCAAGGCTTATTCAGGATCTTTGTTTCTGTGAAAAATTCATAGAAAAATCAACAGCAAATTTATATTCTTTGCTATAAAAACTCATTAAGTACATATGTGCACGGAGGCTGGGAGAGGGACAGGGTTTCCTTAGAAAATAATTAAAATCAAAGGACAAACTCGTGGGCTCGCCGTGTGGCGGCAGCTGTGCGGCGGCCCCGGGGGCCGGCCGGGAGCTGAGCCCGCTGCGAGAGCACCGTGACAGCCAACGCACGCGTCCTGCGCTCCCCGGGGCCTTCCACCTGCATTTAATTTTTTTATATATATATATACTTTTTCTATAAATGCATTATAAATATTTTATCAAGATTTCATAAGAATCAAGTTTCTTAGCTTGGAATACATTGGAATATATATTATACATATATATATTTATTTATACCTAAAATGTAAGCAATACTTCATGCTACTTGCTTTTCATAAAAAGCATTCCGGCCGCAACACTGCGAGTGTGCCTAGGACATGCTCAGGTCGGGGCGCGCCCGCGCCGGGGCGCACGAGGCAAGAACACTTTGGATTCCTGTCGACTCGCTGGACTGCAGCCCCCAGCGGCGCTGCCGCGTTCTGGAACGACCTCCGTTCCTCTCAAACAGCAATAAAGGCGAGCCGGGGCCGCCAGGGCTGCCGGGGCCGCCGGGGGAGGCGGCTGGCGCCTGCTCTCCACGTGTCCGGCCACACCGCCGGGCTGCACCGGCCACAGGAAAGTGTCCCACCGATTCCTGCTGCTCAGTTTATCTTAAGGCATTGTTCCTCAGACTTCAGAAAACCCAGCCCCAAAAATCCATCCGGGCAATAAAAAAAAGGCACAAACTCGCATCTCCGACGGCTTCGAGAAACCGAAGCCGACGCCCCGGGCTCGCACTGTGGTTCTGTCAGGTTTTGTCTTCAAAGGTTCGTCTGCTCTGCCCCCGCCGCAGACCGCCGAGGGCCACGGGGGTGGGCCAGAGCCGTAGAAAACTTCCTCTTAAAAAAAAGAAAATGAGCTACAAGATGAGTTGAGTGGTTTACACGGAGACTGTGGAATTGTGGGTCCTAACCGAACTTGAAGCACCAGTTTTGATCAAGTCTGTTTTGCATTATTAGATCTTTGATTTCATTTTCTGTTCCTTGCATCGACTGAATCCGGCAACCCTGCCACGAGTCGCCGCAGGCCTCTGGCGGCTTCCCTCCTGGGAGCCGGCGGTGTGCCTGGCCTCCGCGTGTCCGTGTGTCTGCTCGCTGCCGTGTCTGTCCCGTGCTCCGCGGGACGCTGCCAGGCCCGCGTGTGGGCGGCAGAAGGGCTCCCGCTGCGGCCACGCGCCTGCGCCCCAGCACTCGAGGGGGCACCGCGGCAGACGCGGGTGAGCGGGAAAGTTTCTTGGCTGAGCTTCAAGACAGAGACAAACAAACAAGGGAACAGCGCCTTCCAGAGCGCTACAGGGGCGGCTCCTCCTCCATGGGCTCCTCCTCGGGTCTGCGTGGAGGGGGCAGAGGGGAGAGAACCACAGGGCCGTCACCGCAGGGCCCGGCCCGGCCCCGCCCCGGCCCCGCCCCGGCCCCCTGCTCAGGGCGGAACCTCTCCCAGGCTCTGCCAGGGCCCGCGAGCTCACCTCTTCTCGGCCGGCTTCACGCCCACGGACAGCGAGGCCATGGCCGTGACCGTCTCCGCCTCCTCGTTCTCGCACTTCTGCGCCTCCATCAGGGAGTGCCCGGCCGTGGAGGACAGGCGCTGCAGGCAGCGCCAGTACTTGCCTGCGGGCGGGGAAGGCGCACTCAGGACCAGGCAGGAGCTGTCGCAGGGCCCGGGGTCTCGCGAGTCAAAAGCACCTCTCTGAAGCGGCAGGCCAGCCCACTCGTCTGGGCAACATTTCCGGGTAGCCAGGGGCATCGAGCCTGCCTGGGATCACCTGGCGCTCCCTCCGCACCTACAGGTCCCCGCAAGTGCAGTGACTGACAGACCTGGGGGTGTGCCCGGGGCTGGGAGCGGCTCTGGGCCAGGAACCCGGGAGCCGATGTCTGGGACCTCGTGGGACTGGGGGTGGGGGCTCCCGTGGGGCCCCTGCCTTGGGACTGACAGACGCTGGGGGTGTGCCCGGGGCTGGAAGCGGCTCTAGGCCAGGAACCCAGCCCCCGCACAGGCACACCGGGAGCCGATGTCTGGCTTTACCCACCTCTCGGAGGGCCTTGCCCACTCGGGTCTCCGAGACCCAGAGATAAACAGGGATCTGCGGCGCGGACACGTGTGAGACAGGCGAGCCGGCAGGGGTCCCCCAGGGCCTGTGCTCACAGGGCAGTGGTAGGAGGTTGCCCTGCAGCCCCCCACTCGGGCCCCCAGCCCTGGGCTGCCCGGCGCTGCTGGGGCCCCCGCTCTCTGGCCTGTGCAGTGGGGTAATGTGTCGTCACGGGAGGCTGTGGCTGCTTCTACCCGCTCAGCAAAGGCCAGCTGACAGCGGCTGGGCCCGACCACTCACTGTGGATGTCCATGACCTTCTCCATGGAGCGGACGGCGTTCGCGTTGGGTCTCTGCTGGACCACCTGCTCGGGCAGAGGGTCGAGCTGGAAGAGAGAGGGACACACAGTGGCTACCCAGCCAACGTGGCTGTCGCAGCACGGGGCCAACCCTGCCCCTGCCCGCTGCCGGGCCGTTCGTGGAGTGCGTCTGCCCGTAGGGAAGAGGACACTCAGAAAGGCTCACAGTGGCCGCGGGAATCTATTAGCTCACTTCCTCCCGGCCTTGGCCGCGGGCTCCCGGCGCTCCTGCCGGCAGGTGGAGGGAGGACAGGGCCCGGGCGCGAGCTGCTGCCTGCTCTCCGCCCCCGGGCCACGCCAGGGGAAGCGGTTAGTGTGCTTTAGGAGCATCGTGTTCCTCTCCACCCGCTCTGCTCCCGCATCTCCTGCAGGCCGCTGGTGGCCATCCCCCCACCTGCCCTCCTGGGCCCATCCCCTGTTGGCACAGAATGACAGGCAGAGGCGAGTCCACAGGGACACCTGTGAATGACCCAGGGGCCAACCGGGGAGGTAAGACTCCTCCACGGAGAATCCTGATCACTTGTACACCACCCCTGCCCCTGCCCCGTCCCTGGTGTGGCTCGGCTTGGAGCTGGTCTCTGAGCATGTGCACGGTGACTGGGGCTCAAGGAGGAGGCCAGCACAGAGGAAGCCGCCCAGGAGGGCACTGGCGCGAGGGCTCCGTACACCTTAAAACCTCCCAGAGATCAAAAGTTAAACGAGCTGGTTTAGACCCCCCAAGACTGCAGTCACTGAAACCGTCAGTTACAACTTAAAACACGCTTACTGCACTTCAAACACACAGGAAAACACTCATGTGTGAGGAAAAGCCAGAGAGTGCGGTACCTGACCTGGAAGACTTGGGGGAGGGGGAAGGGGAGGGGGAGAGGGGGAGAGGGGGAGAGGGAGAGAGGGAGAGAGAGAATGAATTAGCAATCCAAGCGTGGCAGCAGAAAGCTGGGCACGCGATGAGACCAGACAGGAGAACACCGTGTGGAGGGGCACCCGAGGCAGTGGCCCAGAGCAAGCCCAGAGGGTGGGCTGTGGGGGTCTGTGCGGCTGCCCGCAGGTCCTCAGGGAACAGGGAGAAGGGACGAGGGGCAGCCAGACACGGGGCTCCGGCCCTGGGGCCTGCAGCCTGGGAGAGGGGCAAGACCCGGCAGGCAGAACAGGAAGGGAAATCCATGCCTAGGCAGGATGGCGACACCAGGCGGACAACCTCAGGGGCCGAGGGAGCCGATAGGCACGCGGGCATGCCGCAGGAAGCGTGGCCTGGTGCTGTCGGTGCAGCCAGAGAAGCGTCTGCGCTGTCTGGAGCTGGCATTGCAACCAGCATCCTGGCTGCTCGGCCTCCAGTCCCAGCTCCCAGCTCCCGCGCCTGGCAAGCCGAGGAAATGGCACAAGTCCTTGGGCCCCTGCACCACATGCAATGCGCTGGATGGAATCTGGGCACCGGCTTAGGCCTGAACCAGTCCTGGCCACTGTGGCCACCTGGGGAGTGATCCATCAGATGGAAGACTGATCTCTCACAGTCTCTCTCTTTCTGCATTTCAAAAAAATAAACAGGGGCCAGCGCTGTGGCACAGCAGGTGGAGCTGCCGCCCGCAACACCAGCATCCCATAAGGGTGCCAACTCGAGTCCCGGCCACTCCACTTCCGATCCAGCTCCCTGCTGATGGCCTGGGAAAGCAGCGGAGGATGCCCCAAGTGCTTGGGCCCCGGCACCCACGTGGGAGACCTAGAGGAAGCTCCTGGCTTCAGCCAGGCCCAGTCCTGACTGCCGTGGCCATCTGGGGAATCAACCAGAGAATGGGACATCTCATTTTCTCTCTGTAACTCTGATTTTCAAATAAATGACCACAAAGGAAATGGGCTGAGTAATGGTCAAGTGGAACTAGGGACGTGTGGCTTGCAGGGAGCGAGTCACAGCCAGCCTCATGCCCTTTGCAGAAGCAGCGTCTGCGGCCCGAAGGGGCTGATGGTCAAGGACAAGACCCCTGGGTCGCAGTGCTGGAAGACGTGGCACACGGGGTGCAAGGCAAGCACCACTGTGCACTGCGGGCAGGGCCCCTCTGCCACGACGAGATGCACGCAGGCAGACGGGGGTAAATCTGCCTCCACGGGGGAGCGTCCCACTCGTCTTAGACCCAGCAGCCAAGCGGACAAAAACCGGTGAAGAAACAAAAATGTGCAACTAGGCAGCATGGGTAAGGGACACAAACCAAGTCCTGCAGAGCTGGAGACACATGTGATGCCAAACACGTGTGCAGTGCCATGTGGACTGACCACAGCAGCCACCACACACGTTCCACGGAACACAAGCGCCAGCCAGGCCTCTTCTGACCACGGTGCATTTGGTTAGAGACTGGCAACAGAGAGAGCCCCTACGTCTGGAAATTTAAAAGCACGGTGATTCCCGAGGCAAGGAGGAAGTCACGGTGGACACGAGGCCGTGCTCAGACCACAAATCACGGCACGCATGTGAGGAGCTGTGTGGGGCCTCCCACACACACTCAGAAAACAGTACTGGGGTGGGGGGTGAAGAAGTTAGCAAGGGGGCGGAGGATGGAGACACAGAGAAGGAGCAGACGCAGACATGTTCTGAGAGGGCGAGGGCTGAACGCGGTCTGTCCCGGCGTGCTGGCCAAGGACGAGTGCGCGGGCGGCCGTGGGGGCTACAGCAGGAAAGGATGAACTTCCCATAAAATGTAAACCCAAAATTAACTCAAGGAGGCCACTGAGTGGGCCTACAGCCATCAACGACACGGTCGAAGTCCCGCCCAACGGCCACGGGGCACAGACGGCTGGGAGTGGACACTGCACGCAGGACAGCTGTGGCGGGCTGAATTGACAGCCCCCAGCAAACCACGTGGACGCTGTGCCACAGAGGTGAGCAGCTGTGTCCCTGGGCCCCACGTCCTCTCCACAGCTGCCTCTGAGCCGTCCAGGGACCACAGGAGTCCCAGTGGACCAGACTCCGTGTCATCAGGTCTCATTACTCAGCTCAGCTGTGCCTGTGTCCCACGTGGCTGCCTGGGGCCCAGCTTCCCAGCAGGACCTGCACATGCGGTGGCCCTCCCCTCATAAGCCGCGTACCTCTGAGAGCCCCTCCCCTGCCAGGCCTCCGGCACACGCTGGGCACAGGTGTCTGCGGAGCACTCAGCACTCAGCACGGCGGGGTCAAGACTGCGCTGTGTGGGCGCCTGGCACCCTGTGCGCATCTGCTCTGCGAGGAAGCCACAGGACATTGTGGCAAGGAACATGCGAAATCTGGGGGGGGGGTCCTCAAGTCCTCTTCCAGGACATTTCTGGCAGCTCCCACGACAGCTCCCACGACACCCCGCGTTGGTGGTGGTCGAATGTGGGTGCTGGCGATGACACGGCTGAACGGCCCACCCCCCGTGTGTCCTGGCGAGGCTGGAGACAGGGACAGCACACGCGGCTGCCTCTTTTGCCTCCACCGGCATCCCTGAAGGGACCACAGCTAAGAACTGCGTTGGGGGAGGGGAGAGGAGGGCAGGTGAGGCTGGCCCTGCCGTGGGGGTGCTGAGAGCCTGGAGCTGGGGACTGGGGGGTGCAGGCTGCCCCGAGATCAGGGGAGGGCCTTGTGCTCAGGACGGGCCAGCAGAGTGGGGGACACCAGAGCTGTGGCCGACTTGGAGACTGGCATGGGCTCTGGCTCCCGGGGAATCCCAAGGCCAACCAGGGTGCTTCCTGTTCCCAGCGGGAACAAGGGGCCTGCCCTCACCTCAGACCAAGTTGTCCAGGCTGGGCACAGGGGCGGGGGAGATTCCCACGGGGGCGCTGGGGGCAGGGAGGGGCACGTGGTGCTGCAGGCTCGGGAGGGGTCCCTAGGCTGAGAACCCCTGCAGAAGCCCGTGGTGGGTGCACAGCCACTGCCAGCGGCTTGGTCAGACTCGATCCTCCCAGACCCCAGCCCTTAGCAGGTGCCTCCCATTCCCACCTGCCAGCACTGCACTGGCTCCATGGTCTCGCCCTGGCCCCGGTCTGCTCCCGAGTGCCCCCGGCTGCGGCCACAGCCACCTGCTGGAGCGTGCCCTACTCACTAGACCCGCGGACCTGTCCCACCCTCCTCTCCCTGGTGAGACCATGGACCCACGCCAGGGCGTCCCTCCCTCCCTCCTGCCCAGGAGTGACCTCTGGCTGCCCAGCCCGTGGCTCTGCTGTGGGGCTACGGTCACGGCGGCTCTCATCCCCTCCCCACGCTCAGGGCGTCCCTGGGCCTGACGTGTGCCCAGCGCCCAGCACCTGTCCAGCCAGCTCACGGGGTCCTGCTCCACAAGTCTGGCCAGAAGATGGCGCTCCGTACGCAGTCCACGGAGAGGCTGCAGGAGCGTCTTGTGAGGCTTGGAGAACCAGGAGGGCCTGATGGCCCACGGCTTCAGACACTTCCCTGGGGCCCAGCTGGCCACACACGCACAGAGGCTGGTGTGGTGGTGCAGGTGGGTTAATCCGACATCCTACGTGGGCGCCAGTTCAAGTCCCGGCTGCTCCACTTCTGACGCAGCACCTGGCTAAGGTGCCAGAGAGAGGAGCACAAGGGGGCCCAGAGACCTGCGCCCCTGCCGCCCGCGCGGGGACCCGGACCTGCGCCCCTGCCGCCCGCGCGGGGGACCCGGACCTGCGCCCCTGCCGCCCACGCGGGGACCCGGACCTGCGCCCCTGCCGCCCGCGCGGGGGACCCGGACCTGCGCCCCTGCTGCCCGCGCGGGGGACCCGGACCTGCACCCCTGCCGCCCGCGCGGGGGACCCGGATGGGGCGCTGGACTCAGGGTTTGGCCTGGCCTCCCAGGTTTGGCGCGGCCCACCCTGGCTCTTCTGGCCATTTGGGAGAGAACAAACAGATGGAAGGTATCTCTGCCTTCAAATAAATAAATAAACCTGAAAAAATAAAAGACGAACATAAGCCACCCGCCAAGATTCAGAGTCATTATTTCTTTCCTTTCTTCAAGGACTGTGACTCCGTCTCCAGCAGAGGGAATTGTGCCTCTGTGCCCTGGAGCCCAGTTCAGTCCCACGGCCACCGGCAGCCGCGCCAGCCCGGGGAGGGTGACCTCAGCTGCCTGTCTGCTGGTCTGTGGCACGGGCGCAGTCCTCGCGGGGCAGGGCTGACGTGCGGCTTATCTCAGCGTCTGCTAAGCAGTGAGGGGCCCAGCCGCGCCTGCGCAGGGTGGCATGGCGACGCCTTCCCTTGGTGTTTGAGGTGAGGAGGACCAGTGGGCGGCCTGCTCCCAGTCGGTGCGGTGCTGACCTGTAGGAGCCACACGTGCCCGAGGACACCAGGGGGCTCAGTCTGAACACAGAAGCACCCAGGAAGGGGTCTGCTGAGTCGGCGACCTCCTGAGGTGAGCAGGCCGCAGGGCCCTGGGGGCCACCCTACAGTGGGGCCCGGCCAGGGGTCCACCCGGCCAAGCGCAGGTGACCAGATGGACAGGAGCAGGCACACGGCACACGCAGCAGTGCACACGGTCGCTGTCGGCTGAGGTGAACGTGACACTGTGTGAGTGTGAATGTGCGTGTGCACGTGTGTGATGTGTGTGTGCGTATGCGACGTATGAGGGCGTGGGCCCGTGAGCTGGTAGTGGCGTGGCGGTGTGAGAGGGAGACGGAGCCTATGTGGTCTCCCGCTGGCCCGCGGGAGCTTTCCCAAACTCTCGGCACACAGCAAGTGAAGGCTCCCCAAGGCTGCACTTCACATCACCTGGATGCCACGGGCCCCAGCAGTCGCCCAGACACAGCCTGCTTTGGGGGGGCCACGACACAGAACCGCAGCTCCCCACTGCCAGGCCCCGCGCCCGCCTGCCCCCGTACCCGCCTGCCCCGTGCCTGCCTGCCCCCGCGCCTGCCCGTCCCCGCCTGCCCTGCACCTGCCCCCATGCCCGCCTCCCCCCGTGCCCGCCTGCCCCCGTGCCTGCCTGCCCCCTGCCTTCCCCCGCCTGCCCTGTGCCTGCCTGCCCCCATGCCTGCCTGCCCCCGTACCCGCCTGCCCCGTGCCCGCCTGCCCCCATGCCCGCCTGCCCTGTGTCCGCCTGCCCCCGCGCCTGCCTGCCCCCCGCCTGCCCCGTGCCTGCCTGCCCCCGGCCTGCCCGCCCCCGCCTGCCTGCGCCCTCTGTCTACACCGAGACTCCTGCAGGACACTCTTCTCTGTCCGTCCTCACCAGCAGCTGCAGACAATCAGGACGGCTGCTGGGAGCAGTGCGGCCCCAGGGGTGCACACGCTGAAGACAAAACACCTGCCCTGGCGGGCGCCCAGGCTCCCTGGCCCCCGCACCCCGTAACTCAGCCACCACTGGCACAGCTGGCCCGGCGTGGGCGCCTCATCAAAGGCCCCGGCCGACATCTGCGCATCAGAGCGCGTTCTGAAGGGCTCCCTGCTTCCTGGTGGTTTACGAGGAAGACTTTCTCGCAGAGCCGCAGACACGTGTGAGGCGGCCTGAACTCAGCTCTCGCTGCCCTGAGAATCGGGCCCTGGGCCGCTGGGTGGCAGGTGGAGGACGGCTCTGTGCAGACGGGCAGGTGGAGGGGCGTGGGCTTCACCCCGCAGCACCATCAAGGGCGCCCCGACCTCCACCTACAGGGATCTGTGAGACGGACAGGAGAAGAGCGCTGCCGGAGCCCACTGCCCGCGTGGGACATGGCCAGGAGGCCCAGGCAGGGCTCAGCCGGCACAGCTCACGGTTCCCGATGGCGCCCTGCGGACACGCCTGTGCACGGGGCAGGGAGGGCCGCCTGCTGGGGCCTCAGAAGCCCTGGCAGGAGCCGACCCAGGCCAAGGGGCACAGTGCCCCTCACCCTGTGTGCACCCTCTAACAAGGGACCCAGGGAGGACAGCTGTGATGTCCCTGCTCTGAGGCCACTCTGAGCACAGGGCTGGGTAAGCAGTCCAGAAGAGCCAGCCCCCCACAGGCCCTCCCTCCCCCACGCACACACGCAGGCCCCCCCATATACACAGGACCCCACACTCAGGCCCTCACAGGACCCCACATACATGCAGGACTCCCCCCAACAGGACCCCACATATATGCAGGACCCACCTAACAGGACCCCGCACGCGGGACTCCCCCCAACAGGACCCCACACGCAGGCCCCCATAGGACCCCACATACATCAGGACTCCCCCCAACAGGACCCCACATACACGCAGGACCCCACACGCAGGACCCCCCCAACAGGACCCCACACATGCAGGACCCCACATACACGCAGGATCCCCCCACAGGACCCCACACACATGCAGGCCCCCCACATGACCCCCAGGCCCCCACGCGCAGGCGGGAGACTGCCCCCACAGAGGTGAGCTCCTTGGGCTGAGCTTTGCCGGGGTGTGGAGGAGGGCTTTTACAGGGAACAGAGGTCTGTCTCGGGGCTGTCTGCCTTTAGGACGCACGGGGACCCTTTCCCGGCAGGGCCAGCGGCAGCGGCGGGGCGGAGCACTGGCTGGGAGGTGCCGGGCGGAGGGCTCTTGCCGCCCCTGTGGCTGCGCCCTCACCCTACTCACTGTCTTTGGTGCAGGCCCCAGGCGGGGTCGCCCCTGTGGCTGCGCCCTCACCCTACTCACTGTCTTTGGTGCAGGCCCCAGGCGGGGTCGCCCCTGTGGCTGCGCCCTCACCCTACTCACTGTCTTTGGTGCAGGCCCCAGGCGGGGTCGCCCCTGTGGCTGCGCCCTCACCCTACTCACTCGTCTTTGGTGCAGGCCCCAGGCGGGGTCACCCCTGTGGCTGTGCCCTCACCCTACTCACTGTCTTTGGTGCAGGCCCCAGGCAGGGTCGCCCCTGTGGCTGCGCCCTCACCCTACTCACTGTCTTGGTGCAGGCCCCAGGCGGGGTCGCCCCTGTGGCTGCGCCCTCACCCTACTCACTCGTCTTTGGTGCAGGCCCCAGGCGGGGTCGCCCCTGTGGCTGCGCCCTCACCCTACTCACTCGTCTTTGGTGCAGGCCCCAGGCGGGGTCGCCCCTGTGGCTGCGCCCTCACCCTACTCACTGTCTTTGGTGCAGGCCCCAGGCGGGGTCGCCCCTGTGGCTGCGCCCGCACCCTACTCACTGTCTTTGGTGCAGGCCCCAGGCGGGGTCTGCACTGTTCGCCTGAGGGAGCAGCAGGGGTGGGAACGGTGAGGGCATGAGGGCAGTGGGTTCCTCCCCCGGCTGCTGCAGCACAGCAGGATGTCCCATAACCACTCCCTCTTGAGGCAGACAGGGCAGCAGGAAACCACTCCCACCCCCAGCGACCTGCTCGGCTCCAGGGGGGCTGTGGGCCCCCCATCCTTCCCAGCCCCATTCACACCGTCCCTGCAGGGTGGGCCTATGTGGGGTGGGGCTTGGCACAGAGCATCAGCGCTGGTCGCCACCCCAGCCACCCACTGCACAACCAGGCCAGAGGCCAGCAGACAGGAGAGCTGGGGTGGCACCTGTGAGGTCACCGTCACAGGACTGAGTGGCTGAGGGCCTGGGGGCCAAGTCCCCAACCTGAGTGCCCCCGCCAGGCAGGACTGCTGTTGGCGGCCACTACTTGGGGGGTGGGGACACTTTGTAGTGCTGAGTGTGTGGGAACAGGCGAGGCGGGAGGCCGAGTGCCACACGAACCTCACCCTGAGAATAAGGAAGGTGTTGAGAGTGGTGCCCCCAGGGCGGGGGGCTGGGCAAGGGGCATGGACCTGTGGGTCCCACCGGCGGTCAGGCCCGGCGTGGACGCCACGAGCACCAGGCAGGGAGGCCACGTGTCCACTCCTCGGCACGGTGCTCGCGCGTAGAGGCAGCCACCTCACGTGGGCACTGGGCCTGTGCTCCTGCCAGGGCTGAGAGCCCTGGCGTGGGGTGGGACACAGGCGTGGACCCCACGTCCAGAGGCCTCGGGCAGGTCTGAGTCCCGGCGAGGGCGCAGTTTGGAAAGTCGACGTGAAGCACGCAGGTCCGCTCCAGGTCCTGCTCTGCGGGCCCCCTCCGCACTCCCCTCCGCAGGGCGAGCACGCAGGACAGCTCTGTGAGTGCTGCTCCCAACCCCAGCCCTCGGAAGCCCCCTCTGTGCAGGCCTCAGCGTCCCCCTGCCTTGGTCCCATGGACAGAGTTCTGACCCTGGGGGTCACCTGAGGTCTCAGAATGGCAGGCGGGGCTCTGGGCCCACCGAGGCCACTCCTAAACCCACGGCCCAGAGACTGCAATAGGACAAACTCTTCCATGATGAAGGGCCCCTTGTCCCCCAGGGAGAATGAGTGGACTCCACCCGTACATCCTCGCCCACCCTTCACAGCCTCTCCCCGTCCCCTCTGTCACAGCGGGAGCCACACAGGCCAGCGCGGCCTTGCCGGCTGGGCCCTGGCCCTGCGGTCCTCCCCGCCCCGGGCCCTGGCCCCTGTGATCCTCCCCGGCCCGGGCCCTGGCCCCTGCGGTCCTCCCTGGCCTGGCCCTGGCCCTGCGGTCCTCCCTGGCCCAGGCCCGGGCCCTGGCCCCTGCGGTCCTCCCCTGCCCGGGCCCTGGCCCCTGCAGTCCTCCCCGGCCCGGGCCCGGGCCCTGGCCCCTGCGGTCCTCCCCGGCCGGGCCCTGGCCCCTGCGGTCCTCCCCGGCTGGGCCCTGGCCCCTGTGGTCCTCCCTGGCCGGGCCCTGGCCCCTGTGATCCTCCCCGGCCCGGGCCCTGGCCCCTGCGGTCCTCCCCGGCCTGGCCCTGGCCCTGCGGTCCTCCCTGGCCCAGGCCCGGGCCCTGGCCCCTGCGGTCCTCCCCGGCTGGGCCCTGGCCCCTGTGGTCCTCCCCTGCCCAGGCCCTGGCCTCTGTGGTCCTCCCCGGCCCAGGCCCTGGCCCCTGCGGTCCTCCCCGGCTGGGCCCTGGCCCCTGAGGTCCTCCCTGGCCGGGCCCTGGCCCTGCAGTCCTCCTACCTCATTTCCCAGCAGTGCAGACACGCAAGCCTCAGAGGCGTCACAGATGGCCGTCAGGTCGTGGCCTCCCTCGAGGGCCAGGACGATGCGGCCGCCAGCCAGGCCCATCAGCTGCTTGGTCAGGTACCCGAAACCTGCAAGGGGACAGGGACGTGCCAGTGGGGGCCGGGCACGGACCACAGTCACACACACACACACACACACACACACACACCCCGACGGCGGCTGGTCTGCTCAGGAGACTCACTGCAGAGAAGGCAGACGGGGCAAGGTGATGGCCATGCCGACCAGCACTGCCTGCCCTGCCTTCGGAAGCAGAGGTCGATGGGGCACTGGGTGGTGGCCGTGACGCAGGCTGCCTGTCCACGCCGGCAGCACCGCCTGGCTATGGGGGTGCTGGTGGTACCGTGGCTTCTGAGAGGCTGGCTTGGCCCGACTGGGGGAGCAACGACATGGGGCTCAAGGCCGCGGCGTGGACTCCACGGAGCGGCTCAGAGCAGGGAGGCGGGGCATCTGGGTTGGGCGATGGGGGCTCCAGTCAGTGCAGGAGCCTGGTCACTTCCTCAACCAGGTGGGCCCTGGGGGGCAGTGCAGCAGAGTAGGGGCCCCTTGCATTCTGCCAGTCTTCCCGTGGGGACTGGCAAGGGTGGGGACACAGGCTCTCCTCCCTGGCCCTGGCACTGACGGAGAAGAGTGACCCCGGGGACTTGCGGAGGTCAGGAGGCCGGCCACCGGAGAGCCATAGCTCCTGGATGGCTCGGACACCAGGGGCCACTCAAGGGCACGGGGCCACTCTCCCAGCTAGGGCAAATCAACCACACGCATGATTCGGGCTCCCGTCCACTGAAGCCAGCCTGCTTCCTGCCACTTCTCCATGCTGGTCTGAGGGCTGGCTCCCCTCACCCAGGTAAAGGTGCCACCAGAGAGCCGAGAGCAGCACGGAGCGCCCGTCAGCCATCAGTGCAGTGGGGACTTGCACCAGCTCCCAGGGGACGGCCCCCAGCACGCCCTGCTCCTCGGTCACCGGCTGCTGTCCCTGCAGGGCAGGGGGCCCAGGCATCCTGGTGTGCAGCCTGTTCCGTGCCTCTTAGGGACCTCTCCTGCAGTTCCTGGGGGGACGTGACACTCGGGGCGCAGCACCCATGGTGATGCGTTGACCCAGGCGTGGGGGAGGCGACCCCTGCAGGGCACTTACATTTGGCAGAGAGGTTGTAGCCCCCGAGCGGCGTGGGGTGGCCCTCCACGGCGTCGAAGCCCGACGACACCAGCACCACGTCTGGGGCAAACTCGTTGGCGATCGGCATGACCACCGTCCTGGAAAGGGCGGGAGCGGTGTCACTGGGCCGGCCAGGGGAGCGGCGGCCCAGACACTCACAGGAACACAGAGCTCTTAGCACGGACGGCGCCGGCCCGCTCCCCAGCTGGGTGGACACCAGTCACGTGTGACCACGGCGCACCTCCTGGGTGTCTTCCAAGCCCAGACCAGCACGCCTCCACACCAACGCGTTGCCAAGGCTGATGTGCCGGGTCTGCAGGTTTCGGAGGTGACCTTGACCCCTCCATGGCACCAGCTGTGTGAGCGTGGGGCTGGACCAGAGAGCACCGGTCCTCCCGACAGTCCTCCTTCCGGCCTGGGCTGCCTTCCTGGCCACAGGGGGCGCCAGGCCTGGGGGCTGCGGCTGAGAAGGTGGAGCCCTGGAGGGCGCCCTGTGCCACGGCCAACACAGACAGGCTCTGTGTTTAACAACGGGGTCACGTAGGAAGGGCCGCACGGCACTGCTCCCTGGTAAGGTGGCTTTGGGAAGCGAGCACGGTGCCCGCTTGAAACTCGGAAAACGCTGCACAGCACGCGACAACCAAGCCAGCACGCCGGCAGCACGCGCCGGGACGCTCCAGGGACCACGTGTGCCAAAGGCGCCATCTGGCCCTGCCACTCACAGCCTGCTCATCCCTCAGGGCCAGGGCGCAGCGTGGTGGCAGGAGGAGGGGCGCTGGCTCCCCGGGCAGGTGGGCGTGGCAGCATGTGAGGCCTGGTGCTGTGGCCTCGGCGGACTCCCGGCCCCTCCCGGGAGAAGCCCGCCGTTTGCCCTTGCACCACCACCTCTTCGTGGAGCCACTTGATCACACGGTACCAGCGTCCCACAGTGGCTGCATCTCTGTGGCCTCCACCAGCACACACGTGGGCCACGCGAATCCTGAGCCTCCAGGGGCCCACAGTGGGGCAGCCACATGGAGCCACTGCCCCCACGTGCAGCTCTGCGGCCGGAACACCGCCAGCTCCATTTCTCGTTCAGTCTGGTGCTGGACAAAAGTTCCCGGTGAAGTCGGCCAAGCACCCACGCTGGCCAAGACACAGAAGCCCCACACTGGACGCCAGATCCCCGCTGGGGCCTCTCCCAAAGCTCCGATCAGGGTGCAGGCGGTGGGCCCCAGAGCCAACGCACGTGCACTCAGGAGACCTGCGCCCCTTCTCCCCGGGACCAGGGGCAAAGGCCACCCTGACGGCCGGATTCGGAAAGGCCCCCGCCCAGGCACGGGGCATGCACTCTGACCAGGCTACATGGCCTGCCACCCCAGACTCGCCCGCCGGGCTGAGTCACCCTGATGCCTGCAGGCCTGAGCGCCAAGCCGCTCGCTTCCCTCTCTGCTGCGGTTGGACCCAGTTCACGCGATTCCCTCCACCGAACAGACACGACCGCAGGGTCCCGAGAGCAAGGCTCAGGCCCCAGAGCGGGGTCAGCAGCTTCCGCCGCCAGGGCCACACAGCGGACACTCCTGGAGGCGCGGGAGCGGCGGGGCCTGGCTGAGTCCCGCCTACGTTTTATTTAAGAGGAGGTGGTGGGGTGGGGCCGTGGGCCGCAGTGCCTGTCCTTCATGGCACGGGGCCAGCCCAGGGTTCTGGAGGCTTCGGCCCGCCCCTGGGATGCAGGGCCAGTGAGAGGGGCATGGTGGAGAAGGCGTGGCAGCCACAGTCCTGAGTCCTGTGCCCGAGCAGCCCCGCGGGCACCCTGACTGCCTGCCTCTGCCGCCCTCGGCGTGGGCTCCGCGCCCGTCTGCTGCCGGAATCCCCAAGGCTGGCGGCACAGGCACCGAGGCTGCCGAGGTTTTAGCTTAGATGTTTTGTTTCTGGAATCTCTATGCAATGTCCTCGGGAAGCCTCTTCACAGGAGGGCATTTGGACATCCGAGGGAGACACGCTGGCCTTCAGAAAGGACGGTGGGGCGGCTGGGAGCAAACCCCAGGACAGGGAGCGTGCAGCCCCAGGCGTGGGGCACGGCGGGCAGCGCCCTGGCCCCCGGCGAAGCCTCGCGCACCTGCCCACACTGCAGAGAGCGCTGGCACGCGCCAGGTGGCAGGAACAGGGTACAGAGAGCTCAGCCCTCACACTTCCCCGAACGGTGGGAATGCGGGTCGGATGCGCCCGCGCTCTGGGCAGGGCCGGCACCGTCAGCAGATGCGGCGCCCCGACATGTGCGGGTCTGGGTTCCAAGGGGGAGGAATCGCGTGAGAGGCGGGGCTGTCGGCCAGGAGGAGCAGGTAAAGGAGGGGTTAAGAAATGCCTTCCTCACCTCCCTGAGACCCAGCCTTCCTGTGCCCCCCCCCAAATGTTCATGGCCAACTTCAAAGGCGTCTGGGGCCGGCTGGGGCTGGTTTGAATTAAGGGCGCCTGCGCCTGGTCTCCAAGCCCCAGGAGAAAGTGCCGCTGCCTCTGGACCTCATTAGGGGCGATTTTCTTATCTCCTCTTCATCTGGGGCGAGATCCCCTGCAAGAGCGGCCGGGCAGGCAGCGGGTCTTCCCGGCTCCCCGGGGGAGCAGCAGAGGGGGAGTCGGGCCTCTGACCCCTCCCCACCTTCGCCCAGGGAACTTCAAAGCGCTACTTTACATTAGGAGCAATAAAAAAGCCCCGAGACAATTTTCCTGCTCAAAGAGGCCGTGCAGGCGTCCAGCGCTCACTTGATAAGGTATCAGCACGCACGCCCTCAGCGGGGATGGAAACAGATGCGAGCGCCTGGCGGACAAAAGGGGCCCTGGAGGAGGCCGCGGGAACTTCCACCCGGGGTCAGAGAACGGAGCCCACCGGGCGCCGCCCATGAGGTGAGGTCAGTGCAGGCCACACCTGGCGGAGGAGCCGAGCCGGACGAAGAGGCCAGGCCAGGAGCGCCGCCCCTCTCTGCCCGGGAAGCTGGCCCTGGGAGCGCCGGCACCTCGCAGGCACCGTCTTCCAGGGAGCCCCGGGAGCCGCGTTCTCGGCCGGGAGACGACACAGTGACACTGGCAGCGGATGTGTGACAGAGCGGCACACGTGTCACGGGCTCGGAGGTCACGTCAGAAGACTTCCCGAGAGAGCGGGTGCTGGGGCTGCAGCTGGCGTCCATGCCCGTGGGGTTCAGGTCCCTGCTCCGCTTCTGATCCAGCGGCCTGCTAATGTGCACCCTGGGAGCAGCAGGTGATGGCTCACGTGGGGGTCCCTGCCACCCACGGGGACACCCAGCATGACTTCTGGGCTCCTGGGTCAGCTGGCGCTTGTCCCAGCTGTTGCAGGCACTGGGGGAGTGGAACAGTGAACGGGAGATCTCTCTGAGCCTTTCAAATAAAGCAAATAAGTAAAAATTCGAAAATAAATAAACCCACAAAAACTTTCAGATCTTGCATGTGTTTCGGGAAGCAGAGTGCCTTTAAGTTAGGCAGAGAAATCATCAAAAATGTTGTTTGCCGGATGTAAGAAGAGACATCAAAGTGCAGCCGCTCAAGACCAGGAGAGGTGAAGTCCTTCTGGGTGTGGCCTTCCACGGCTGGGCTGAGCCCTGTCCACACAGGCGGCTCTGCTGTGAGGACAGGTTCCGCCCTGAGGTGCTAAGACAGGACTGCTGCTTCCACAGACTGAGAGCCCGAGGGACCTGCCCAGCAGGGGCCAGACCCCCACGCCCTCTCCAGTTTCTCGATGAGCAGGCTACAGCTGAGAGAGGCCACACGTCTCATCCGGGGTGTCCAGAGCTTGGGGCAGAGTCCACGTTCACAGGCATCCCTCCCACCAGCACGTGCACCTGCACACGTGTGTGCCCTCGCATCTCCAGATGCACGGCATGCTCCCTGCACAGACGCGCAGACAGCTGGACAGGCACCCAGAAGCGGAAGCACATGCAGACACATGTGCACCCGCATCCAGAGATGCACGCGCAGGCCTCAGACACGGCCTAGACGCGTGTGCTCGGTCTGTGCACCAATCAAGATAAAACCATGGAGTTGGAGAACAAGTCTTGCAAAGGACACGGGCTTCCTGACCAAGGAGGCAGGGCCTGGCCCCAGCTGTGCTAACAGTGCCGTCAACTCGGGCCCGGGGAGCGCCGGGGGAGGCACCTGCAGCTGCTGCGCGTGCTGGAGCGAGCAGGCGGAGACCCCTCCCAGAACAAGAAAGCCCACCCGGCTGAGCCGCCGCTGTTCCGCAGGGACCGCAGCACACGCACTGGAGGCCTGACCCACACCTGCCTTTGCAGCAGCGACCCCTGCACTGTGTCTCAGAGGGACCACAGCACAGGGAGGTGACAGCGGCCTCTGGTTCCAGGTTCATTCGTGTTTTACAGCCTCCCAAAGGGCGTGGGGAAGAAAACCAGGAGATCGCGAAAGCTTA